CACCTGCACCCTCTCCTATCTCCGGTCTTCTTGACACCGGACATAAGTGGGGGGATGGTAGATGGTTCACAAGTCTACTGTTCCTACACCATCCTGTTATGGAGTACACGGTGGACATTGTCGAAACCGACGGTCGAACTATCGGTACCTGCAAAAAATAGGGAAACTACACTACTATTGCGACGCTTCTACTGTTGTCCGTTCATATTTACGAACAAGAACCCCTTCCCCCACTTCTTGACAAACCGTTATATGAGACTACTGTCCTGTAATCAGGGTTTCTGGCGGCACAGTGGACAGTTATTAGCGAACCCTGATTGGGCTCGTCCTTTACTGTTGCGTTTAATAGAGTTCGGCACATGTAAAAAGAAGCTTCGGAGCCGTTTGGTTTCACCCATCCTGACTCTGAATAAGCTAATAAACTAGGAACGAAAAAAGGTTTCAACCTAAGAACGCCGAACCCCATAAAGGAATACAAACAAACAGGAAGGTTATTAGCCCCTCGTGAAAGGATAAAAAAGTGGGCATACTTCGTATTGGCGTTTTTGAAGATCAGCCAGCTTTTGGAATCGCCTTTGCCTGAATAAATCCGAGACGGCAACGTGAACGTCGGGGAAGTCATTCTGCAACAGAGTCATGACCTCCTCACTACGAAGGGCGGTGAGACCGAGTTCAGCTCGACCAGCAGGCACGAGGCCATTATTTTGCAGCCAGGTCCTCTCATAGGCATCCATGACACGTCTAGAAAGATCGGGATATCTTCTTTTAAAGGACTTGATCTACAAAGTCAGAAAAGAAAGTGTGGGTTATATAAAATGAGAAAAAAATGGAAAAAGCTGTTGATACATCAGAGTAAATGACGCATCCATTACCTCCTTATGGAGTTGAAAAATAGGCCAATTCGGCGTTCGAAGTTAGCAAAGAAAAATTTAGGATTTTTAGTGCATGCTGTAAATCATTGCAGTTAACTTTTATCTTAATCGGTTGTCGGTTTTTAAGGTAAATGGCGTCCACCCGAAAAAAAGACTCGGTTGTAATTTATAGTCTGAAATCACTTAAATGACAGCAAGAAGGTACGTGTCAGCAAAATAACGCTGTACTCCTCAATTCTGGAGAATACTCTGATAAATGTCTGGAGCGCTTGCATACTTAAGGGTGACTAAAGTGAGAAAAGCAAAGAAACCCATGCTTTAATTTCGTTTCTGGCTGATTTGCTGATGTGAAATCATGCAGAATTGTAAGAATACATACAAACCTTGAGAAAATCCGCAAGGAGTTCCTGTACGACGTAGTACGTCTCGTCCGATGTCTGTGCGGGCGAGTCTTCGGCATCGACATCTGGCCATATATATTCGAATAAATCCTCCAGGACGATTTCCTCCGAAACGCTTGCAAACGCACTGACGCGCGAAAGCATTGTTTCTGGTTTAATGCGAGAGTCACGACGGCTACTGGGCAAGCTCTATCAGATCAGGGGTTAAAAAAATGGGGTAGTACGGGTTGTGATGCTTCAGAGTCCGCGTCATTCTTCCGACTCGACGGCGTAAGCGGAAGCGCATCCAAACTATCTTCTAGTTCAAAAACGGTCTCCTCATCTAACATATCCTTTGATGGAGCGCGACTAACTTCCATCCTCATAAGCTCAAAAACACGGACAGTTCTTATTACAATGATACTAATGGGAGAGTAACAAATCAACGCTTTGTTGAGTTTTATCGCAAGTGATCAACTAAAACAAATATT